GGTTGAGGGCGGCCTAGGGCGGCGGCGGTGAGGGCAGGCTCGGGCTCGGGTGGCGGCGACAGAGGAGTAGGGGAACAGGGGAAAGGAGGACTTAGCAAAATTTTGAGCCCCGCGGGTGGTTAAATCAAACTAGCAGTAGCGCTCTTAAGGAAACGCGCTATAGCTAATTTAGCTATAGTGCGTTTTAGAAGAAAAAAAACGCTACTGCTAAAGGAAGCAGTTATTTCTTTTGTTTATCCCAATATCAGTAGCGCTTTGTCCTGGAAAAACGTTATAAGTCTAAGCATGTAAAAACATCAAAAATATACATTGATCATCTTTGATCTTTTTGTGTAGAATCTAAATAGTCAACATGAATCTTCACCATACCTGTATAGGCACAGGCGAAGGTTCATATTGCAGCCACAAATCCTACACATATAGTTCAATGAAGACCAAGTGCTCGAGATAGTTTGAGAAGTAACATATTTAAGGTGGCAAACACCTTGTTCGCTTAGCAGTATGGGACTAGACTTAATTAGTTGCGGTGATACTTAGCAGCAGCGAGTTTTGAAGAAAAACGCTGCTACTGAGTACTTTAGCAATAGCGCGTCCAGGAGAAGGGCGCTACTACTATATCTAGCCTGGAGGCAATGCCATGGAAATTATAGTAGTAGCGCTCGTTTCACCTAAAGCGCTACTGCTATCGGGATGTTAGTAGCATGGTTTCCTGGAGCTCGCTACTGCTAATTAGCAGTAGCGTTTGTTTTTAAATCACGCTGCTGCTAAGATTCTGTGTATAAAGTTTTCCCTAATAATGCATGTAAGGTTTCCTAAATGTCCTCATGGTTCGAAGGTGAGCCAAGATGTTCTGTGTGCCTCGGGACTTTGTGTCCTTGACCTTTTTGATCTTTAGCTGAGATTTTGTGTCTTAGGGATTTGTGTACAAACCTTCATCAACAAAGGGTAGGATTGCACCAACTATCCAAACCTCGGGTCTCAGCATGAACCTTTATGTTTGCGATCTCCATCCCTTGATCCCTTACTTCCATACAAGTTTGCTTTTGCTCTTTAAATTCATAGTTTTGCATGTGTAGTGTGTTTTACTCAACCATAGTTTAAGTTAAAATTGGCCATCAACTTTTTTGACATCAAAATTGTCCATCAACTTAAAATTGACTGGTGGCTCTCTGTGTTTATTCACCCTCCTCCAGAATTAAAATGACCATACATATTGTATTTTTTTGTTGCTCCTTTGTCTTTTATTCACCTTTTGCTTTTTTGTTCTTCTATGTATATATTTATATTCTCCATGTTGTCTTTTTTTTGGAATAACCACATAGTTCGCCTTGAAAGAGACATTTAAATGCAGTCGGCGATAAAACACACCATGGAATAAGCCTATCCGAGGTGGGCAGCTGACGAGCTAGCCATAGCAAGGGCGGAATGTATCTATCCCAGGTGGTCATATTTTCAAATAAATACCTTGAATGGATGCATGTACAAGGCACTAAAAAAAACTGCTCTAGGGAGACCCTATTTTCCAGGACCATCGTTGGAAACAATTAGCCATAGTGCCTTTTGGTGACTGCAGCAACTCTAGCAGACCCCGCATCCCGCCCCGACCCGTAAAATAACCGCCAAAATGCGGGTGAGCGTGAAAAAACCAGCCCGATCAGACCCCGCATCCCGCCCCGGTCCGCAAAAAGTTTTAGGGGGCGCGGCAAAATCCCGACCCCAACCCGGAAAAACGCGGGTTTCGCCCCCGCCGCTGCGGTGCCCTGCATATAAGCGGAAGCGGTTGGTGGGAGGACATTTCATCCCGCGCTTTCTCCCACCAACCACCTCTCCTCTCCCCCCTCACGCCGCCACCGGCCGCCGCCCAAGATTCAGGCGAACGCAGCTGGCAGGAGCACGGCGAAAGGCCGCCACGCGCACGAGGCCTTCCCTTCCTCCCCCTTGCGTCGGCGGGCCGTCGGATTTGCAGATCTGCGGCACTTCATCCCGGGCCGCCGGAATTGGCCTTTTCCGGCCGCCGGTTGCGGCCTCAAGCGATGGAGTGGTCGGGGAGCCTCTACTGCAGCCCAGGCAAGGGCGCATCGCCGCATGCAGGTACGGGTTCGTCCGCCCGCCACCGCCAAAGGTTTGCGGGCATGGACTCGTCCGGCTGTCCACCGGGCTCAGCGCTCGTGTAGCGCCTTTGTGGCTTGCCGATGCCGCTCATAGAGTGCGACGACTGCACGAGGAAAGTGTTGCGGCTCACTTAGAGCACGCCGAAGCACCCCGGATGGGTGTTCTTCAAATGCGAAAACGACGGGGTACGTGCACTTGCGGTAGCTCGTTTCATAGTTCATTCTCTAGTTCAATTGCGGTAGCTCGTTTCATAGTTCATTCTCTAGTTCAATTGCGGTATCTCGTTTCATAGTTCATTCTCTAGTTCAATTGTGGTAGCTCACTTCGCGCTTGCTCATTCTTTTGTGTAGGACGATGGATGCTCATTTTGGTTTTGGGAAGGCCAATACATTGATTTGTTGATAGAAAGAAACTTAATAAATGTTAGTGCACTCCTTAGTACAAGCAAAGGCAATGATGCGGTTGCATGTGCAACTAAAGGGGAAGCAACATCTACTTCTTCTGAACCAAAGATGAAGAAAGAAGAACGCAAAATCAAGAATCCACAGATCAACAACGAATGCATGGAGAAGATATTAGTCCAACTAGTGGGAGCAGTTATGGAACTTGAAAATCTTCTAAAATGCATACTTGTAGTTCTTGTTTTCTTTGATCTTGCCATTCTAGCAAAGATTTGGTGATATCTTTTGTATCCAATGTTGCTAAATAGGAAAAACAATGCAATATGCAAGATCAAATTTAAGTTTTGCAGGCCGGGAGGAGCTGCGCCCGATCAGATGCCGCAACCTCAACCCGTAAAAAAGCATATTGCGGGAATATCCGTTTTTACGGATCCATTATGCGGGGCCTGCATACGCGGCCGTCCGCGCCGGCCCAGAAAGGTGTTTTTCCGCGACCTGCATAAACATTTTGCGGGCCAGAAGGATGCGGGGTCTGCTAGAGTTGCTCTCAGATAGGCTAGCTATTCCCTACTAGTGTATACTTCTTCATCTTCTTCAAACAGGGCAACATTCGAAAAATTCAATATTATCTTTGTCGAGTCCAACCTCATGGAAAAGATCCTTTAAGCAAGCTCTATAACATATGTTTATGTTTCAAATTCTGCATTCATGTAGGATTTCAAACAACAATACATATTGTTTTTGCATCCTTTCTATTCATACATTTTGGAATCTTCTGAATGAAAAAGACCGTCACATCACAAGATGTTTGTGTAGGGGCTTGCTGAAGACTTTGGTGTATGTTTTGCACTTTTGTTCCGTTGTTCTTTGGTGTATGTTGCTGAAGACTTTGGTGTTGGTGTATGTTTTGCTAGCTAGGGGAGGTGTGTAAGGAAAACAACGATGCATTTGTTACGTCTACATGTTTCCCGAGAAACAAAGGAAATACTCTACTAGAAAATTGCAAATACTAGGTATAAGTCCGAGAAGATGTCATCAAAATAATTTGCATACACGACTTACATTTTGAAACAATATCACACGAGTTACATGGACCTCAATTTTACTTTGCAAAATGGAAACACTATATATATTACTTTCGAGAGAAAAGTAATATGCAAATTGGGGGATCTAGACATGCATGGAGCGCATGTTGAAGTTGCATATGGATGTATCTTAATATAATTATTATATAATTTGCACACGAAGGAGCGACTATAATATATTATATCGCCATGGATGAGTAGTCGAGCTCCTGCTGGTGGTAGCAGAAGGTCTGCTGGACCTCGAAGGCGACATCCTCCACGCTGAGCTGGCACTCGAGCCCAATCTGCAATGCAACAGTGCAATTAATTCACTGACTGATGAAGGCAGCTGATCGAATGCGTTCACGGAATATTCCGCGCACGCAGCACATTTAATCCGGTAATGGAGTTAGTAACTGCGTACTACCTTGAGGACGAAGGAGTGGAGGACGGTGTCGTCCATGGTGCTGATGTTGACGTGGAGCACCTCGAGGTGGAGGCTCTCGAGCAGCGCGACGATCCTGGCGGCCTGGCCGGGGATGCGGCCGGAGAGCGTGCGGAGCAGCACGTTGGCGCCGGAGATCCTGGCCTCGACGTCGGCGGCCGGGGAGTTGCAGCAGGCAGCGAGCTCTTTGACGGCGGCGCCGCCGATGCCCGGCACCACAATGCAGCTGCCGCCGCTGCTGCCGTTGCTGTTGGGGGAGACGTCGGAGGCGGAGCCCCCGGCGCTGGTGGGCGTGGAGCAGGTGAGGAGGGAGCGCGGGCTCGGGGTGGGGCTGCAGAGGCGGCGCTTCTTCTTGGCCTCCAGCGCGTCCAGCACGGTGTGCAGCTCCCGGATGAACTCGATGGCGCCGCCGATGATGGACGCCTGGTCGCAGCGCTTGATGTAGAAGGCCGGCGTCAGGGCACGCAGCACCTTGAGGTGGTCGTTCATCTGCCGCCGCCGGTTCCGCTCCACCGCGATGTGCGACATCTTCTTCTTCTTCTTTTTCTTCCCTCAGCTGCTCGACGCTGCTGGATCTGGTTGACTACCACCGCATGCACCTCGCCGTGGGAATATATAGGTGCGCGGAGGCGGCCGCGCCGGGACGCGGATATTTAGGCGTGCGCGCGTTGGTGCGTGCATGGGAGTGAAGCGGCCGCGTCGTACGTGTGAGCGCGCGCGTGCTTCATTTATTGTTGGGCGCATTGGGCGCGGCGCTGCCAGTGCCCGTGACAGGGGCACCACGGACGGATCTGGCGTCGTGGAGCGTGCAGTGGGGTTTCTTCCAGATTCAGTTCATCATACAGTAAATTTGCAAGAAAAAAAAAGTTCATTATACAGTGAACACAGTTGTTCGCCTTATAAAAGTGCATGTTTTAGCCAATTCATCCAAAAATCCAAACTGATGAAAAAGATTAGACAGCACATTATACGTCAACATGCCCATGTGACCGTTGAGGCCTTCTGTAGATAAATTAAGATCAGCAGCCTGCTTCAGTTTTCACCCCAAACATACTCCCTCATTTCCCGCTTATAGGGTCCAATTCAAAAATCTCACCAACTAAGGAAGATGGCGAGTGGTGGAATAATTTTTGTAGTTTGCAAAAGCACCCAATTAATGCTCTTATTTTTCTCAAAAGGTTATGTTTATCAATGCATTAATTGCAATGCATGCATGCATAAAGTACGGGTATCTCTAACAGATGTACTCCCTCCGTCCCAGTTCGCAAGGCAAAGTTTTCAAATATCTTGGCCCAAGGTGAATTTCCATTGGCTCTGATTTTCCACGTAAAAGCGTTAACCATCGGCGCTGTAATTAATTTGGAAAGTGAAAAGAACTTTATTTTCTAGTCTTTAATTGATTTGGCGCGATATTTTCCTCTGCCCCGCGCGCTGTTTCCGCCTCGCGCGCTCCTTCCTCCTTCGGCGCGATATTTTCCCCTTAAATTTTGCTATTGCGCCCAGATTTCTTTCCTAAACCAGAGATTTGATTCCGCGCGCAAGGATTTCGTTCCAAACTCAAACGAAAGCAGCGCCCAAATTTCTTTATATAGCCATGGACTTACGTAGACGAACAACCTAGTCTAGCGCCAGTTTCACACTGCATTGTGGAAGAGGAAGATGAAAGGAAGTACTCCAACATGCATTAGAATTGTGGTGCATGCAGCCTGGGAAGAGGAGTAAGTGTTGTGGTGCATGCAGATTTAGTGGAGTGGTTTCCCACGGTGAAAGAGGAGTGGATCAGCTTTTGCATGCAAACATTGATGGACTACTAGTGCCAAATTGAATACAAATGTGCCTAGGGGGTGGAAGATTTTGGGACAAATAGTTTTTGGGATTTTGCCTTGCGAACTGGGACGGAGGGAGTATGTTAGTCTTGATGTTAAATGTCCATGTCATCAACCAACAAGCTAACATACAACTACTCCAATGGATTGTATGTAAACTATCCAATAGATGGTGAGAAAATACATGTGATTGCTCTCTATTTCATCTTGAAGCTTGTGCAAAGGTTGTTGGTTAATCTACATACAACTTTGCTCTCTCTTCACATTTAATACATGCCACATCATCACTATATATGTTCTAGGTGGCAAATTTACCAAAACCTATCTTACAACTGTTGGAGATGCTCTTAGGCCCCTCCCAATGCTCCACCTTGTACAGGTGCTAAGCATGCCATGTAGGCGAAAAATCTGATGTGGCAAGACAATTAAGAGAACAGAGATTGATTTGGTAACCCCGGGAAGAACCAATGCCAAGCGCGTGAACCTAGGCAAAACATTTAAATGGAGCAAGCTCATCAATGCATGAAAGAGTTTAGTAGCTAAGACATTAAATGAAAGAAGCTTAGGCTGGTCACAATGGGCAAGAACATAAGCTAGTAACTTACACACTTCCCTAGACTATGTTACTATCTCCATAGTGGGTAGGAACATCTATGTAGTGTCATGCAACGATGTATTTATTAGGTTATAGACTCATTGTTTCTTGGAGTGTGTGATGTTCCGGTAACTTAGCTAGTTACCACAAGCACCTCTCTCTTCATTAAATATGTGCCACATAAGCAAAGTTGTATTGGAGTGTGTGATGTTACTCCTAAGTTCCTCCCCATTGTGACCAGCCTTAGCAACAACAAGTTAACCACCTATGCATTGGGGGCTATAGTTGTTAAAGTATTTAATGCGCTTATCACCTCATCTAAGTACTTGTTCATTGGAATTTGGAAGAGGTCTTAATACTTGCTTGCAATGATTTAATGCACCTTAAAATCTAAATATGTGATGAGGAACAACCAAATTGAGCCTTATAAAATGAAAAAACTAAAATTTTGAAATAAGCCCTATAAACTAGAAAAGAAGAAATAAGAGGTAATTGCATCGATGGTGTTTGAAATTGCGTGTCCACTTTACTGCCTGCAGTTGCGAAATAGAGATAAGTGGTATCAAACTTAGCACGTGCATGCAAATATGATGCTAATTCTATTCGTAGACATAAAGTTCACTGACATGACATATTTTGGTTGGACTGCACACATGGCGTGCTAGCGTAACATGGGGCCCGCTTGCAGTGGAGGCACAAACTGATACGCATAGTATACATCTCCATGTCCAGTGGGTCCCACATGTCAATATAAAGGGAAAAAATGACATGAAAAGTGCTTGCATAGACTAGTGGGTCCCACCTGTATGTCCAATAAAAAGTTGGCATGAAAATAAAAAAAACAGATTCATTTGAAACTCAAACCCACAACTTCGAGCTAGCAAGCAAGCCATGCTAGCCACCCCATTCATTTTCTAAAAAAAAGCCACCCCATCCTTCAAATTTGTTTGGCCAATAAGGATAACTTTTTTTTTGAGAAACTCCAATAAGGAAAACCTTTTTTAGAAACTCCATTTTTTTAGATGAACCCATAAGGATAACTAGACAATATATTTTGTAAACGACCACACTTGTGGGGCTTAAATGGGCTGCAGTTATTGCAGCTTATTTGGCGCATGCTACATTTTTTTCCTTTTTAAAAAATTTGTACAAAATAGATAAGTTTTAATCAAAGATAATAATTGAGGTTTGAATATTCATGTGTTATAAATAAAATAGATAAAATAAAATAACTTACTCAAAATATGTTCGTGTAACGTTTTAAATATTATTCTAATTATAAGTAACGAGTATGTAAAAATATTTAGTAAATACGAACATTTAAAATATACACTCATGGAATATATTAGAAAATAATAATAAATAGAGACATTTAAAAAATTTAGTGAATAAAAGCATTTTTATGCACTCATGGCTTATATTTAAATTATTAAAAATATGAATACAAAAAATTACTAAATATTTATGAGTATGCACTTGTGTACAATTTTTACCAGTGGCTTATATTCACTTGTGTATTAAACATAAGCCACGAGTAAATAAAAACATTTAAAATTTTAAATTATGAATTTATATGAATAATTTTAAATAATACAAATAATTTCTTAAACAACATACTTACGAATTATAATAATGTTTGCATAATTATTACATATTTTTATTTTGAATTAGAGTTCTAAAATATTACTATTTTTATTAAATTATGAAAATAAAATAAAATTCATAAATATAGTTAATTGCCAATGTGTTGCGATAGGGGCATAATTATTGTGTACACAATCACCATGATTTACTCATTATTATTTTACGAGGGATGCTATGTGGGCCGACTGGTAATTTTTAAATATTGGCTAGGTCACAATCGGTCAGATGAGACACCATCAAGTTGCCAAGCGGCACCCTCTACTATTGCAACAGAGGTAATATTACAGAAACCTCTGTAATATAGGTAATGTTGTAAAAACCTTTTAAACAGAGGTCATGTTGTAGAAAACTTTTACAATCGAGGTCATGTTGTAGAAAACTTTCGCCACAACCATCATGTTGCGGAAATGTGCAACGAAGGTCTCATTGCAGAAAACTTTTGCCACATAGATCATGTTGCAAAACGTCGTTGCGTCGCAACAACACTAGCACAAGCATTGTTTGCCCCACCATTTGCAACAAGGCCAATGTTACAGAAACTTGTCTTCGATGTGATGTTGCGAAAAACAACAATAACATCGACAACACCATCGGGGTCGTCCCGGCCGGGTGCCTCCTCACACGAGCTCGGGCGGAGTGCGCGCCATGGCACACGTGCAACAAGCAGCGACCAGGGATGACATCAGGAGGTGTGGAGCAGTGGCGGAGCTACAATAAAAAACCAGGGCAGGCTGCATTAGGCATTCACTCATACATTAGACATTGTTTTAATCATTAACCACACTTTTACTCATGCATATGCTGGAAGCTGGGCGGCCATGGCATAGTTTAGCCCCAACTAAGCTCCCCCAGTGGTGTGGAGGTCATTGGGGCACAATCAAGGCAGCAAAACCAAGCGTGATTATCAGTCGGCTGAGAGGAATCATTTCCCTTATTTTATTAAATGTGATTACATATCAAAATTATACTTTAGCTACCAACTAAATCACAACAAGCAAGTAAGAAATCGGACAGTTAAGGTGGTTTTCAAGAAAACCGATCTGAAAAATTAATGACAAAGCCGAAAATGGAGAATATGTGGTGGAGAGAAGAGGGTAGAAAAAGACACGTAAGACAAAACTTTGCTTATTTTTTGAAGTAGGAGAGATACATAAGACGAGGTGATTCGGTGTCCAGACTCAGCTGCATTCGCGATGAACCGAAAATTCCAAAAAAAATTAGAAACATTCCAAAATTCCATTTTTCTGAGTGAAAGATAATTGGTGCATGAGGTGCGCTCTAATTTCTGATCATTTGGACATCTGAGTTGCTATCGGCAAAAAAGACATGTTTAGGGCCTGACATAATATTTTTTTTACTGATAACTACTCATATGTCCAAATGATCTGAAATTTAGAGCGCACCTCACGCATCAAAAAGTCTTCCTTGCAAAAAAAAATCAGATTTTTTTTATTTTTTAGTAT